GAACTCAAGGTACATTCTCTCTACCCTCTACTTTTATCTGTTTCTTTTATTTACTCTTTTAGAAACCATTACTAAGTTAAGAATCGGAGGGGTGTTAGCCAAGCTAACGCCCATCCCAAGCTAACGTTTGTTATGCGTAGGACCTCAAGGATCTTGACACACAAGGATCCTGACATTCGAGGATCCTAGCACTCAGGGATCCCAATAGATACATAGTTCGATGACCTTAACAATTGCAATATGCAAGTATCCAAGTAACTACGAATAGAAAATGATCATCTATCCTACGATTAAGGGTACTTAATCCCCTATAAGGTTTTAAGAGTTAATTACCTCTTTCATACGAGTTAAGGTTTCTACACCTCGCTTAGACATATAAAATCTTACTGCGAGATGTGAATAGGGGATCATTTCACGCTTTAGTGACTTGGCAACCCTCTTATTTATGAACATATGTTAAGATCCTGACGTTTAAACCTAAGGTTTATAACAGTGACGTGTTATCTTATGTCGAGATTTTCCCCAGTAATTTCCTAAGGTTTATTACACTAACGTGTTATCTTAAGTTAGGATTTTCCCCAGTAATTTCCCAAAGTTTATAACACTGACGTGTTATCTTAAGTTGGGATTTTCCTAGTAATTTCCTAAGGTTTATAACACTAACATGTTGTCTTAAGTTGGGATTTTCCCCATGAAATGTCTAATACTTGTAGCATTATTATGTTACAAATAGGGATCCTTCCCAATTGTGTTCTAAGTTGGAATTATTCGCATTTAACTCCTAAGGTGGGATACTCCCTGGTTCACTAAGTAATAATCTAATAATGATATTCTATGATGAACTCCTAAAGCAAGGATCCTTTCATACACAAACTCTCGAATCATACTAAAGGAATCACAAGTTCAAAGTTTCTCCAAATTTAAAGGATAATGAATCCAAAAGAGCACCAGGTTCTATCTATCCACTCTTTAAAAATATTTTTCCCTAAGTAATGTTTGGAGGTTTGTTATCCTAAAAGATCTTAACTATTTTAAGATCCCAAATTAAAGACTAACCATTTTCAGGTTATCCAGATCTTAAAGAGTTCTTGTTAGACTTGAACTTTTCAGGCACTTGACTATGTAAGGATCATCAGAAATCCTAGTACTACAACCACACAAATCAACTACACAAGCAAAAAAGATACCAACATCAACTACTTAAGTGCATAAAGTAGAAAGGGGTTCCCCACCAACCCCATAAAAAGTGAAATATTGTCTTACATACCCAAAATATTAAAAGTTATTTTTAACTAAATAAATCTAAGTTGTAGAATGATCACCACCTCCCTGATCCACCTTTGTCTTCTCTCCTCCTTTCTTTGGTTGCAATGCAGGATCCTGACTAGCAACAACAAGCTCTCCAATTAATTTGTCCTAGGCTTACGCCATCCGACCACGTTCCAGGATCCCGCATTCTCAAGATCCTCTGCAAGCTTAATTTTCGCCTCCCAAACAGCAACAACAACACTCTCCTTCACTTACACAATGACCTCACCCATCTCAGCCATATGCTCCTCTTCCTTCTCAACTTTTTCCTTGGTCAGCTTCTCTGCAGGAGCTCCTTGTTGATTCCCTCCTTCTCCCTCAAAGCATGCTCTGTTTGAGTAAACTTGGCCTTGAGATCCTCATAGGAGCGAGAGACGTGTTCAGTGACCTGAGATGGGAAACTGTAAGTAAAAAATAAAATTAAACGAAAAGAACACAATAATGCTTACTGATTGGGAGAAGGAGATCAGCTTCTTCAGCGCCTCGTATGTTCCAACATTCTCAAGATCCTAGACATTAGACGATTTCCTCTTGCAAGACGTCAGGGTCTTTACAGCAAGATCAAGTTGAGTCTTCTTAGTAGGAAGAAAGGGAAGGATCTTTTCCTTCTTCACCACAAGCAGGCCACTAGACATGTCATCTTCAAGCTCAGACATAACAAGTCGAGCACTAGAGCGAGTGTTCTTGGATCCCACATATTGAGAAGGATCCCTATAAGTTCAGGATGCTAATGTCGAAACAAATAAGTACACTAAGAAGAATCCTTACCAATTATCATTGAATTTGTGGTAGATGAACCTTATTGAAGGCTAGGACACTCAAACTTGAATGATCTGACGTCTATAGATAAAGCAAGGAAACTTGTTATCTTATCATCACTATCTTTAGGAACAGTAAAAGGTTCTCCAAACTTGAAACATGCATCAAAATAAACAAAATAAGAAGTATAAATCCTTGGATCCTCAAGATTAACAAATAGATCCTACCCTTTTCAACCCAAGCTTTGGGCAACAGATCCCCACCATCAATAGAATCACGCCTCATAAAAAAGTATTTTTCCTTGCAAGCTCTACCGTTATGTTTTGTTTTGAGAATGAAAGGAGGTTTGTTAGTCTTCAGCTTAAGCAGAAAACGAGAATTCCCAAAAGTAGAAAGTTCATAAACATAAGCCAAATCGGCGAGACCTATGGATTGTGAGAACGATTCACTTGGTCACTCCAGAATAAAATCCTCCAGATAATAGGCATGACTTGAATATATGAAATTTTGGTGGCTTAAATGAAATCAGAAACAATGCCTGGAAAAGGGTATTTGAGACCCAAAGAAAAGGGATACTCAGTGAAACATACCGAGGAAGGAGAAAAGAAATCAGGCCGAATAGAAGCTTCAAAGGACCTGAAGATTACATCAGAAGGAAAAGCTCCACTGGCTTTAAGAGATTGCATGTATTCATCGTCAAAGGAGCAGACCTCATCATAGGTCAGGATCCCTTGATCAATGAAGTCGTTCTCGGGAGGGGCATTAATGTTGGCATGATAACGGCTTGCCTTCTTTCCTATGATCTAAAAAAAAGGAAAACAAAAGGAAAATAAGAGAAACAAATTACCTGTGAAGGTGGCCGAAGATGATCGAAAGAAGTATTGGGGAAGGTGAAAGAAATTAAGTTGGTTACCCCTATTTAACCTAAGTGACTGAAGAGAGAGAACGTGATTCGACTAAAGAATGATGCTTATGGAATGGATAAAACCTATCCGATTAGGGTTTGAAATTCAAATTTCTTATCTCTTTTATTTTTATTTCTTAAACTATACCATTAAATATTTGAAAATTAACCTTGATATTTCGTAGGTATAATTTGGGGGAAATTGTTAGGAGCAGGATCCCATAATCATATTCAGGATCCTTAATGATCTTGAAGTCTCGGGATCCTTAAACATATCTCAGGATCCTGATTATTATCACTAATATTTCCTAACACTGATAACAACTATATTCTTCTTTCTTTTTTTCACATGTGCAGAATTAGTCAACACAAGATTCATTCTCAACGGAGATTCACTTCAACCAAGCTTAAGACCCCGGAATACCAAGTCAAACAATGTGCAAATACTTGTTCAAGGAGGATCTGGTAAATCTCGGACTTCTTGTTAATTAGCTTAGAGTTTAAATAACACCGGTAACTCACACACTACACATACGATTAGCTCTACTACTACACTTGTACTCATACTATCTTCATCATCTCTGTAATCTCAGATTAAAAACAATAAAAAGAAACAAGGAAAGTGATCATTATCACTTCCTAAGGTTTTTATGTCGGAAATCCTAAAAAGGATTAAGGGCTTTCCTTGTAATTCACTTGTCTTACTTTGATCATTATACTACACTTGTATTGCACTAAAAACACAACCTCTCATACAATTTGGTTGAATTATACTTGATCGATATTAACCAAAACAATAATGTAATATGAAATAACTAGGCAAAAGGAGGAGCATAAGTAAAGATCGGGAAGGGCGAGCTTAACTAGAAAAGACAAAAAAAATAACACAATGGTTACACTTGCAAGCCATCTCTATTGAAAAGCTTGTTGAGACATTAAAAAAAGCATAAATAGCCTAGAAAACAACACTCGAGAAGACTTCGCAGCAAGCTGCACACGGAGAACATGGTTCTCCTGAAGGTAAACCTCAAAGTCGGCTTCAAAGAGTGATTGATGATTCTCCAAAAGAAATATCTTCTCAGACGCAACACGTAATTGGTCGCTTAGCTCTGCATGGTGCTTGCCAATTTCAAAAACACTTCTTCACCAGCTAATTCATCCCTTCAGTTGCACGTAAATTCACCTCTACAGATAAATAACGAACTCACAAACTTAACAGCCCATCATACAATTTCGATTTCTTCCCATTTACAACAACTAGAATATCCTCAACGTGAGCTATAATTTGGCAAGCCTCGTCTAGTTCTTTACGCAACAAACCACAAAATTGGCAGGACGCTATAACAAACAATAAGGAATTCAAAATATATAAAACAACAAGAGAGGGGTGGGACAGATAAGAACAAAACCCACCACTCGGAATTAAGTCAGCAAAATCTCGATGATCATTCAAATCACCTATCCTCAATCCAATAAGAAACGAATGATCGTTTATGTTTACACAGGACGATGCTTGGAACACCAACGGAAGGAGAAATTAATTCGACATTAAAATCCAAAAATGGGAATGGTAGGAAAAAAACCATTGTCCATGTGAGCATCAATATCACCCAAAAGTTGTTCTACGGAAAATACATTCGCTTCGAATTCAACAAGATGTAATGACGAATCAGTCGGGCAAACTGACGATGAAGGAGATTTATTACAGATCACATTCTCCAGTACAAGGTCTCGAGGAGCAATCTCACTGGACACGTAAGCAGACAAGTTAAATGTTCATTTACTCTTCCCTACAACATTAAATGCAAACAAAAGTAAATACCATAAGCATTAATTATAGGCATCCATTGAACATAAAAATCAAGGAAAAAACCAAGTTACCAATTCAAGTAACATTCAAGAATAATAGCCACTCACCTGGATGATTCACTGATAGGACAAGCACCTAATCACGAGCTTTCCAGGTTGGACTCATGCCACATATGGCAAGTACAACCTCGGGAAAGAAACACATTTTAATGCAGTGATGTCAAAACAGAGGAAGGTATTTATACAAACTCAAAGCTAGAGGAGCATCATTATCTGAATCTGGCGACGACCCAGGGACGTTAGTAAGACAAACGCTACTAGAAACTACCCAACAAAATTTTTCTTTCCGTCCACTATTTGTACCGGGAAGAGCATACACCAAAAGAAAATGGTGACTACTAAAAGAATACCAGTCACCATATTTCTTCAAGCGATATAAATGTAGAAACAATGATACCTTTAGAGGAATATAAGATGACACATAGAATAAATAGAAAGTAATGACCTTGGAAACACCATTAGGGGAAAGCTGAATCAGATGAATACCATATAAACACAACACCTCTAGGAAAAGTGAGGTAGCAGGAAGCCTTAGCCTATAGATAAGATATCTCAAGTAAAACCCTATCTTACCTATGAGAGCTTCAAGAAGGGAAGAAGATGAAGAAGGCAATGTGACACAATGAAAAGTGGCCAATTTATACTCGTTCACATATTGATCTAGTATAAAGCCGCCAACATTGGAAGAAATTGATGGCATAACAAAAGCTATGCCGAGGAGGATGTGGAAGAAGCAAAAAGTAAAAAAAATGGATGATTTTAAAGTCATATTATCCGTTATATAAAGATAAGGACTAGATAAGCATTAATTAGACAATCTAATCAATCAAATCGATGCGATTAACCAACGGCGGGACACATTTAATGAAACCTGCACCCAATACACACATGACATTTCATTTACCAAGAAAGATCATGATTCTAAATAGCAAAAAGGTGGCATCATGTTTGCAATTCAGACTGGGGAACTTAATGGTGTACCTGAGTCGGCTTAACAAGGAATTACCGACCCGGGTATAACAAGCAACTATCGACCTAAGATTTCTAGCAAGAATTAAATGGAGCTATGTAAGGGTGGACCATGGTTCAACAGTAACACACAGTGAGTAAAAACCCTAAGAGGCCATATCCCAGGAAAAGCGCCAATGTACACATCTTTATAATAAACAAATAAAGAATTACAAGCCAAATAGTTGTCTTTACCCGGATCATGCAAGAGACCGGGTAACACCCTAAACCGATACACTTTTCAGACGCCTATAAAAGCCAAACATCACCAAAGGAAACAAGGTAGAATTTTCCAAACATGAGCAAAGTTATACCAACGCCTAATCGACATCTAACTTAAGCATAAGAGAGCAATATCGAGGTCCATCCCTAGGTATCGCTTTCTAACCTAGCATATGTCTACCTTTTGCAGTGTACCTTCCCTATTGTGCATTAGAAGAGGGCATTCCCTATTAACTAAAAGGCATCTGGAAGCCTACATAGCAACACGTCACCCAAGCCACATCAACACCTTTTTAATTATCACGCCATACGACCTGGAACGTGTGGTCATCGCATGACAGGAAAAAAAGGAAGTAGAAGCATGGTCGGTCCGGGGGGGGGGGGGGGGACATAGGTGACGACCCATGGCCCAACTAGTTTGGTTCCCCAGATTGATTTTTATCGTTTATAAGGAGTTTATGAGATTCACAAATATATCGAAGCTTTCATAATTGATGCATCAATGGCGGCAACTTCTCAAAATATTAAGCAAAGCGGCCAAGTTGAAGTGAAGCCCCTAATGAGATTTATGACTTGAGCTCTGATTACCAATTCTAAAATATTCTACAAGTTCTAAATACCAATTTCTGAATCTAAAATTCTAAAGTTTAATTGTTAGTTTTAAGAAAGAGTGGATGTCGAAAAAGAGTGGGGTAAAAAATAGAAGCGATATTTGGAAATTTGGAATGTGATCTTATAAGCTCTATTTCAATTGTATATGCATATTATTCTAATAGAACTTTTAAACTTCATTATACTTCAATTTTAGTTATGTGAGTATAACTTTTGATGTTTAAAGGGTCTCATATTAGTTTTTTATTTTGGCCTTAAATCGATATGGACTGGGCCGAAGTAGAAGGAAGGAAGAAAATAAATTGTGTCATGGTCGGTCGTAGTTTTGTCATCGGGCAGCATAGGTGTTCAGCCATGCCGTAGTGTTCATATAGTGGTGATAGTCCATCTTAGCATCATGGACTTCCGGTAAACCACATACCCATTGCCATAAAAGATGGAGGGGTTGTGGAATTGGTATTGGTCGTTGCATATCATCCACCTTTCTTCTTTTTTGGTCGAGGTGGTGGTGGTGAATGTTGCGTTTCCGAAACAAAGTCCGGTGAATGAAGGGGTTGTGAAATTGGTGGTTGTGATTGTTGTGGTTGTGAAGCTTGTAGTTGGAATTGTTGTTGGAGTTGTTGGAATTGTTGGAATTGTTGTTGTTAGAAGGTCGGGAAGGGTTGATATTGTCGTTGGAAAAGTGGTGTTTGGTGGATTGGGAAACCAGTTTGAAACAAATTGACAAAACCACATTGAGGTGATTGCATGGTTGAGAATTGACGAGGGGTTGTATCTACCGCAAAAACGTTATCGGGATCCATGTTTTTTGGTTGTAAAAAAGATTGTGTGTATATTGTGTAATATAAAGAAATAAAAGAACGGTGTAAGAAATATAGGTGTATAATGTGGTTTTTATAGGTAAAATTTGTGTTTTTTTTTAATTTTCTTTTTTGAAAACTAGTCGTTCAACGACTACATGAACCGGTCAAATACGAAACAAATTGCTATTGGTTGTTTCATCTCGTCCTCCCCGTCGCGATACATCATGACAACCAAGCAACATGAATGGTCGGGCTGGTCTGCACGACCGTTGTCTGTGCGGTTAGACCACGAAGTGGTTTTTCAATGGTTTACCTGATGGTCTTATAGTGAAATAGTTGCAATTTTTTATTCATTTAGTCTGAATTGTAGGTTATTAAATGAAAAGCCATGCAAGGACAGTGATACGACTGAATAGGTTATAAATTGTATTGTAAAATTAAAAGAATAGACTACACTCTTGATATGACACTTGCAATTTTCTTTTATGGTTACCGTTGTAATTTTAATTGATTAACGGTAAATGCCACTTATGCATGTTTCACAAATCAGTTTTATAGTAAACATATAAGAGGTAAACTGAAATATATATTAAATAAAAAAGATATTTTCATGTTTGAAAACAAAATTATTATTATTATTATTATTATTATTATTATTATTATTATATTATTATTATTATTGTTGTTAGAACAATAGTAGATAGCTTAATCAATTACATTATGAAATTTAAGCTTTTTTTCATCACATATGTTCAAATTATACATGACTTTTTGAAAGGTTAGCGAGGTCATGAGATATATGTAGGTGCACCTACATTCTTTTGAGTTCATGCATAAACTTGACATGATACAATGTTTTTACGAATTATGGTTAGCATAAATTTCAAAAAATATATACACTAAAGTCCCAATATTTTCATCGATTTGACAAGAAAGTCCTAAACTTTATTTTTTTGACAGTAAAATCCAAATTAACGGCAGTTTTTGACACTTTTACCCTTTTTCGGTTAGCCGGTAATTAGAACTTTTTTGTCAAGAAAATAAAGTTTATGACTTTTCTTGTCAAATCGTCAATCAGGACTTTACTGTCAAAAAAATAAAGTTTAGGACATTTTTGTCAAATCGTTGAAAATATTGGGACTTTAGTGTATATATCCCTTTTTTGGTTAGAAATTTAATGATATGATACTCTTTAACCATAAAAGTTATTGAAACATTCTCTAGCCAACTAGATCCTATTGAAATCCTTAACATTTGCTTCTTGTTAAATCGTGATTGTGTCAAGGCTGTTTGTGTTTGTATAATTTGTCCCAATTTTTAGTTCAAGATTTGGCGGCGAAGCAAGAAGAAAGTTTTACAAGTCTTTTCACCCTTTCTCGCTCTCTCTTTTGCATATGTTTCTCCTGATCGTGATTGTGTCAGGGTAAATATGATTATGGTAAGAAAAATAGTGGTGCTGCAACAGAATCACAATTAAAAGTTCTTGTGTACATTAAAGTCCCAATATTTTCAACGATTACACAAAAATGTCCTAAACTTTATTTTTTTGACAGTAAAGTCCTAATTGACGATTTGACAAAAAGTCCTAAGCTTTATTTTATTGACAAAAAAGTCCTACTTACCGGCTAACCGGAAAAAAGGGTAAAAGTGTCAAAAACTGCCGATAATTTGGACTTTACTGTAAAAAAAATAAAGTTTGCGACTTTCTTGTTAAATCGATGAAAATATTGGGACTTTAGTGTATATATCCCATTTCAAAATGATGTTATTTGACAATGAAAAAGTCTAAACTAATGAAAAGACATGTTTAGTCCTTATTTTTTAAAAATTAACTCGGACGCTGTCTAAAATCGTAAAAAGTTGCATACTTCATCTATTGTGAGACATGAAATGACTGCAATGCTCTTTTTAATTTTTTGTTTATTTTTGATATTTTTTACTATTTTTAATTAGTAAATAGTATTTTAATAATCTACCGACAACTCTCTCTCTCTCTTTCTCTCTCTCTCTCTCTCTCTCTCTATATATATATATATATATATATATATATATATATATATATATAGATATATATATATATATATATTATATATATATATATTTGTTGGTGTGCAAATCTCTTTATTGGATGGTGATTTAGAAGGGTTCTCCCTATTCGATATGAAAGGCTTCTCATGCACATGCTTCTACAAATTTATACTACTCCATTATCTATACAACTTGTGTGTAAACGTTAATTCGTGTCTTTTCTATTATACATGTTCTTAATTCTGCAATTGTCATCTCCATGGGACCCTACATGTGGTATCAAAGCTTAATCTTCAGGTTTAAGCAACTATTTTAAAACCAATGATCCTAGATGACAACATTTTTGTGTAATCGACGAAAGATTCGAAATCTTTAGTGAGTCTCTGCATTGGATCTTTTTTTTGAAAATTTCCTTTGATCCAATTTGTTTTTCATTAAGTCAGCCCAATCATTCGATCCAACATAAGCCCACAATCTAATTTGTTATTGTTCATTAGTATTTTGGGCCCATAGTTGTTGATTATTATTTATCTTTGGATCTATTGGCTCACATCAAGTCTCTATGAAATTTTAGAGTCATGATTTTTGCTTGTTCGATTTCATGACTCAATTGTCTATCCAGATTATCTAATATGTTCGTTCAGCCTATCAATCTTATTTTCTTTATCAAATCAATTTCCTGTTCGATTATATCTTGAATCTCAATTTTCTCATCGGTTCTTGAAATCAATTCTACTATAATTGATGTAGATGATTAATTGATAAAATTTTTGTTGATTATTAAAAATAATTTGACCGGATGAGAGTGTTTTATATGAAAAATCATTTCTCGATTTATGCTATTTAGTTTGTGGATGAAATTGAAAGTGCTGGAAATTTGCTTTAATATGAAGAACAGATGAAGAACGGTTGAAGAATTGTTAAAAGTTTTTAACCGATGTGTTCTGTAACACTCTATTCCGAATAGTTTCCTAATGCGGGGTGGTGACCCGAAGATCGGGTATCATCAGGCTTAGGGCCTTTGAGG